GTCTCATCTGTCTGAGTAATCTGCACATCCCCTTTCCTAACTATATTGCAGGCTTCATCTGTAACACCCCCCCACTACCCAGCAAGATATTGTCCTCTTTGGCACAGGGTCACGGAACACCGTTCTCCTCCCCTGCCCTCAAGGGTTTGTTCCTCCTAGGGGTTCCCTGGGAAAAGGCCTCTTGCAAGGTAAGGGCTGAAAGCTTACTTATAAGCCCAGCAACTCCCCCCTCCGTAACCGATGTGGGATACCAGGATCTCACAATCCACCCCCCTCAGGGCTGCACGTCCCCGTGCAGCTAGGTCACGGACTACCGTTCTCCTCCCTCCTACACNACTGACATTTACACTCTACGGCATATCTCGTAGGTAATCCAAGTCCCTCCCAACCACCATACAATGAGTAAACCAACATATTCTCAATCAATTCACATTTTACCAATTAATCGCAAAATACCCAAATTTCACAAGTAAAGCGTCATAGCAAGATGGAATTAAAATGAGCAAAAGATCAATATAAAGATCATTTTCGTTGAACAATATCGAACACTAAATTTATAAAGTGAGAACCAAGGCAATATATGGAGAAAACTCAATTTTTCTTAAAACCAAGTTTGGAAGATGAAAAAGAGAAATTTAATGGTTACCAAACCATCCCATTATTCAAACATAGCATTTATTACAAGGAGAATTAAGAATCATACAAATCATATCAAATAAATATGGATGGGAGTGGAAAACATATGTATATACATAAACCCTAGCCTCAATGTAAGAAATTAGGAAGAAATCCCCTACCTCTTGGTTGTAGCTTCAATCTAAGACCCAAGATTCAAAATCTTCCTATTCTCCTTCCTTTTCCTCTTAATTTCGTCCTCCTAGGGTTTCTAGAGATTTGGGTGTGAGTGGTTGAGGAATAGAAGCAAAAGAAATGGGTGGAGAAGAGAAAACTTGAGAAATTCGGTTTTGATCTTTATGAGGTGGGAATCTCTCTTGACCTTGGTGTTTTTCTCTCCCTTTTCTCTTCTCTTAGGGCTCTAAGGTATTTAGAGTGGAAGGGAAATGAAGAATGGGAGAAATAGGGCTTGGAATGGGTGTTTTAAAACCCAAAAATCCCGACTTTTACTGTTCATCGTCTGTTTTGGGGGTTTTCCAGACTTACTGTTTTCCTTATTTTTGATCATGATAAACTTTGAATCTGAAAAAGTGCAAAACATGAAAGTTGTAGATCTAGATGTCTTCTGCATTGTGTCAAAATTTCAGCTCAATCGGACCATTGTAGCAAGAGTTATGACGATTCTACGACAACTGGTCCGGAGTAGGCAATGTACCCGGAGCAGCGCCCCAGCGCCCATTTGGGCGCCCCTTTTCACTTCCAATCCTTCCAACTTTAATCCTAACTTATCCTACATACTTTTCTACATCGACCTAATTAGTTCAAGTTCTTTTATGATTTATTTTGTACATTTTCATACCGAAACTAATCTTTTAACTACTCTTTCCTTGAGTTATACTATTTTAACATTTCAAATGAAATAATTACTGAACACCTATGTCTTTTTTTTTTTTTTTTTTAACGCATGTGGGGTATTACATCATCATCGCCCAAATACACTTTGTCAAAATTTTCCTGTACATAATTTTGTAGCACATCCATGTGTGGAGTAGCATGGAATGAAGCTCCAGAATCTATAATCCAAGATTCACTGCGAGAATCCAGTGAACAAATCAAAGCATCATTATCAGACTCGTCAGCAACATTAGCAGTATTTTTACCTTTTTGATTATTCGCATTCTGCTCCTTTTCTCAGTGCCTTGCAGTCCCGCTTCCAGTGCCCCTTATGACCACAGTTCCAACAGCCCTCATCTCCATCACGAGATTTACTTCGGCCTCTGTTTCTCGAATACGATTTTTCCTTGCCCTTTTTATTGCCTCCCTTATTCATAGCCCTACCTCTTTCCTCCGTATTGAGTGCTGAACCTGAAACAACATCATCACTCAATGCTCTTCTCTGAGCCTCTTCTCCTAGTATCAATGCCACAACATTCTCCAATTTTATCTTTGCAAACCCAGAAGAATTGCTTACTGCCACAACAAGTCCATTCCAACTTTCCGACAAACTTGATAAAAGGACAAGAGCTCTAATTTCATCATCAAAAACAATACTCACGGATTCTAACTGATTCGTAACCGTATTAAATTCGTTGATATGTTCAGCAACAATAGTGTTTTCAAACATCTTTAGATTAAATAACTTTTTCATAAGATATACATTATCCACCGCTGAATGCTTTTCGTACATCTTTTCTAGGACTTTGAACAAATCTGATGTAGTCTTTTCTTTGACGATGTTCGATGCAACTGATGGCACTAGGCACAGTCGCACAGTCCTTAGGGCTTTGCGATCCAGAACATCTCACTTTGCTTGCTCCATATCCGCTGGCTTCTTTACATCGATAGGTTGATAAAGATCCTTCTAATACAGAATATCCTCCATTTGCATCTTCCAAAACGCGTAGTTTGTGCCATTAAATTTTTTAATCTTAACTTTGTCTTCTGCCATTGTGTAAACCCTTGACCTCTTAATCTAGAGCTCTGATACCAGTTGTTGGGATTTAACAACAATTTAAATCCACTAACAAACACACACAATTGAAAAACAAATTAAGAATATAAAGCAATAAGAAACAAGAAAGAACAAGACACAGATTTTACGTGATTCGGCAATTTTCCTACGTCCACAAAGCTGCAGGGATTTCACTATTGAGAGAGTTGAATACAGAGAGCGGTTGTACAATCTACCATATTAACTCTAATCACCAAAACAACGGGTTTTATATCTTCTACGCACTGGCCTTTCGGCCCAAACCTTCTCTCCATAGATTAAGCCTCAAAAAAATTTTCATTAAAAAATCACATAACATTATTTCAGGTCGGGTCATCATCCGGATCACATATACAAACTAGACTCCACAAAAAGACCAACAATTAGCTTCCAAGGGGAGGGGAATGAGAATGGACCCATGGGCCATGATCACTTGTGAGTGGAATGCACCCAATTATTCTATGTTCATGGGGTAGACTTCAAACAAGTTGTCTCTGTTTCACCCAGCAAGGCCGGTGCTAACACTAAGATGTGTCTACCACTCAATAATAAGGACATTCATTATATATATTCTCCGGTATGAAGCCACTTCCTATGTCTGACTTGTTTTTTTCCCATACTCATCTCATGTAACAAGGCGATAGTAGCCACCATTATTATCGAGCAACTGATGTAGTCTCCGTACCCTAATTTCGTCTTACAGTTATCAATGTCCGCCGTCTAGTACGCATCCTCTTAAATTTTTAGTGAAAATCTAGTAAGGTTTGCTTAGTCTCATACACCCACTCTATATATATATATATATTTCTATTGGGTGTCTAGAATTGTATTGACTACTCTTTCGAGTTCAACGATAATCACTGTATCTTAAACTGTGCTAGAACATATTTTTGATGAACAAAAGTGGTTGACCTTTAAAAGGTATGACAAGAAATTGAATCTAAGATCTTTGAGTTATCAAATGTCATACTCATTCAATAAACCACACTAAAATTAGGTCATTCATTAAATGCCAACACTTAAAAAGATCAAATAAAACGTAGTCTTTGATGTGGTTCTCCTTCATGGAACAGTCCTTGGAGTCACGTCCTATGCCATATTGACCCTTACGCCATTGTTTTGTCACTCTCCAACTCTCTTGGACAAAGACATGAATAAGAATCATGGACCTCAATATATTTTCTTGGACAAAAATATAATCCCTGCCATTAATGCCACAATTATCAAACTTAACTATGTTCTCAAGAATGACTAGAACTTGAATTAGAAGGATTAAAAATAGAATAATACTGTCCATCACTTCTCTTTTCAAAATCTCGTCTCATACTAAAATTTGTTGCACTATACATGATAATTTGTATGAGAGTGGATCTTGGTGCAGCTGTAAGATTGTTCTATTATAAAATGAACATTAAGAATTCAAGTCATAAAAACTGTCTATCTACATGTTGTGAGTAAAATTGCATACATCTTGCTTTCTCCAAACTCCGCAATAGCAGAATTCTTGTGCATTGGACATCTTCTTTTTTTTTTCCCAAGCATGATAATTTATCTATCAAAATGATTAACATGACAAATCACATCTTTCTATTAGGATATAAGGCTATTGTACCGACTTAGATACTGTACCACAATCCATTTCAACCATTGATTTTAAATTTAGTGATTTGCAAGTATCGATTGAAAAAAAACAAGAAAATAGTAACAAAAAACATAAAATATATAGAAAAAAATGTTAAACATGTCATATTTTTATTCAATGAAAAATAAAATTACAGCATGGAGAAGTGATATTTTGAAAGCTTAATGGGACTCTTTCTATTATGGAGCTCACAAAGAAGATGATGTAGACCCATTGAGCAATACCATCCTATTGCAGTAACAGACGTTTGCAAAATGCTTCCCATCACATGCTCTGCCTCACCTACCACATTCAATGACGCAGGTACAAGATCCAGAACAAGCCCAAACACACAGTTATAGAAGAGCTTGTGATCAGCACAAATTTCTAGTGTCAATGGAATTTACATTGGTCTTCATTCCATTGAGAGCACTGTTTGAAGACATTTTTGAAGTTGTTGAGCTCTACTAGTATCCAAGGATCATCACTCTTTGTGGGATTTCTTTTTTTTTTTTTCTGAGTCCTAAGAAAACAATGTTTCCTATACTTACTGAGAAGAGTTTAGGGATGTCACTATAAAGCAATGATATTCTACCCCATATCTTGTGTGAGTAGGATTTGCAGTGTTACCAATCAGGTTAACCTCAAATCTTGTCGAAATAACATCATTCAGTTTTATTATGGTTAAAATTAAAGAATAAATGTACATAGCCTTATGACTTATCTGTCACTCAAACCAAATATGAAAATCATTAAGACAAAGATTCATTCTCCGAGTAAGAACACGCTTATGTCGTTCAGACTTGTAAACTAAGTGCATGAATTGAAACCTCAATACATACATCAGTTAAATCAAGACTTACACTTCGATGAGAATTTGAACTCACACAAGGGACTTTTATACAATTCATCTAAGCAACTAAAGTCCATCTTACCGACCAACCATACTTTTCATCACTTGAACTTATGAAGACAAAGTATTTTCTAAGCAAAGAATATCATTAAACCAAAAACCCGATAGTAAAACTATCTATCTTTTGGCACATACTTGCATATAGAAAAACCTTTTCATTTAAGAGGAAAAATATAATAATATACAGCTAATAATTCCTCCAGCAGTCTAGCACTTACCCTGACATCATCAAAATTGGGGAACACCCTCAGGACATATAATTATAATGCAAAGGTTGTTGCAACACAACTGTCCACGCGCTTTCTTTTTTCAAAACAAAGGCCCTCACATCCATCAACCCAGTGGCATCCAGTTCAATCCTTCATGTTGTGGGCCCAAAATTTAAGGAATGTTCCGATCCCCTTCTGATGACAAATCAATGGCTGATCCGAGTTTATGATCAACACAGATATACTTGACACTGTAAAACAGTTTTACCAATCTTGAACCCCGGAACCACAGTGAAACCTACACGAGATTCACTTTCTGGTGAGCCATCGGAGGACACGAACGCTTCTTCGTTCACGCTCTCCATGTACACTTCTGAGAATCGAGACCTCTTGCTGGATTGAAAGATTGAGGCTTCCGGCTCGAAAGAGAAGGCCAGACAGTGCAGGAGCCAAACCCGCTTCGCCATTTCAGAGAATGTGGCAAAGAAGGTTGTTTCTGGGTATTCACCAGAATTCACTAAATTTCTCTGATTCAAATTTCCAAAAAGCGATGACTCCATCTTCGGATGAACCAGTCTCAAGTATTTGGTCCTGCAAAACTTTGCAAACGTTGATTTAGGCTTCCAAGCAAGATAATCCTTGGGTTTCATGGACTTCAATTGCATGAATCTGTCAAAGAATAGTCGCTGCCACGTTTTCTGCTCGGGTAAAGACTCATTTGGAAGAGAGAAGTTTGAGTAGTTGAAACCATCAAACATATCACGGCAAACAAACGACTCAAACGCAAAACCTTTATGGTTCGCATTCCAGTAAACAACACCTGGTTCAATTGAAGCAGCCGCTGCGTCTAAATCCCAACCCGCAGATTCCATCTCACTGATCATCAACCGAACAAAGCTCCTAATAGATTTAACTGCCTGCCGAAGAACTGTAGTGAAATGGCTGCTGCTTAAGGCTGATAAATGAAGATTGTCAAGTACCGATAGTGATCCACTTGAATTTAATCTCTTTTCAAGTAATTTGTTCTCTTTATTGGCTTCATCCAATTTCTCTCTAAGAAATGTGATTTCTGATTCTTTAAGCTTAAGTTGAGAATCCAACTTTTTCCCCATAATTTCATAGGTTTTCAAAAGACTCTTCTGCTCCTGGAGTTCAGCCAATATATGGGTAGTTTCAGGAGAAGACTCACTAAACTGTTTCTTTAAGTAAGAATGCTTCAATTCAGATAGATTTTTTAACTCCAAAACTACCATCTGATCGGCAGATTGAATCCCATCCACATCATAAGGAGACTGAGCAAACTGCAACTGAGCATATGCCGCTTTAGCTGCAGAAATGCTGGCAAACAGTTTGGCAAGAAAAGCTTCAGTCGCTGCTCTGATACGGAGCTTTTCATCTTCAACATCAAACAACGGAGACTCACTGTTGTTCATGTCATCATGCTTGGCCTTCTCTTGGGACTTAGTTTTCTGAATTCCATCAACCGGAGCAATCCCTGTCACAGCTCGAATGTGCAAAACCTTAGCAAAAGTGCGGGCCAATCTACTCTTACTCGGGGTCACCGCAGATCGTTTAACCGAATCCATCTGAAACAAAAGATCACAAAATTGATAACGATGGTGATATTACAAGTAAGATTGCAATAAGGAATTGATAACTTTTGAGAATAAAACTATAATATTAAAAGAAGAATAGGAATATTGTGTCATGATAACGATGATGGCAATGATGAGCATGTTTCAACAAAAGAGAAAAACTGTATACTTTAACTCTTAGATAGAGGACAGTAAAGGGAGAAGGTATTTCTTTTTGCTTTGCCGTTAAGAGTTACTGGATTGGAGTCCCTTTGAAAGTCTAAAAAAGTGGATCTCAAAGGAGAGAAAAGAACAGGAGAGTTTTAAAGAACAAGAACACGTAGAAGATGAAGACGAAGGTGAACAACGCGGGATTCAAGGACGCGATCAAAAGACGTGTTTAAAGTTCAAGATTCTCGTCGCTTATTACTGCAAGACACACACAGCATCAAGTGTCCTGCATCACAGCATCAGTACTATGCATAGAGAATGTAACCGGAGGAATCCACAACTTGTGAAAAGTATGTCCACCATTTTATACTCAATATTCTATTACCTATGGCAGAGTTTGACAACATAAATAATAGTTCTATCTATGCTACCAAACTTGAGAAATTCCAATTATTAGGAAAATTTAGTCACAGGCCATGTTACCAATTTACCATTAAAAAAAACAGATGAATGGTCCTCATTAAATAGACCTGAGGAGGCAATTTCATATAAGGTAATGATCAAGAAGTAGGTGGCAGTTTTGTTTAATAGTGATGGACAATTGTGATTGTTTATACCAATATATCCTCTGTAGTAGGTGTAATCGTTTATAGCAATATTTCCTTTGTATTATGTGGAGGAACTATCCAAAAATATAATCTAAGCAAAAAAACTTGGACTTGACAGGCATGTTATACAACAAACTCCAAAGGGTGTAACTAGTCAAAGCAGATATTCTTATGCCTCCTAACTCCTACTCTTAATTGTAGAGGACAATCATACTAGCCATATAAAAAGAGTATTAATAAGAGTATCGAGTGGCATACTACATATTCTCCTACTTCCATTTTGGGTCCTCCTACATTGAACTTGCACAATTGGTCATCGAGAAAAGATTCTATTCTAACTGGTCCATTGGCCAAATTGGTCATAGAAAAAGATTGTATCACAGTGGGTGTCTCAGCCTACTAGTGGTTAAGAGTTAGTTTTACTAAGGGGTCCCGAGTTTCCAAAGAAGAAAAGGAATATACCATACATCCTTCGCTCCAATTGTGGTATTTTTATAAAATCGTTAGTTGATTTTGCGACTACCAAAATCACATCAACGAATGCTTCGTAAGACCAAGAAAATATTCGATGTAATGATGATACCAAGTCATCGTTTGACAAATGGCATCACCCCTTCATTATGAAACATCATGTGCATTTAAAGTGAATCATATTATTTCCATAATTACTCCTAACAACCACATTCAATAACTTACTATATATATTTAATATATTACTCCATCTGTTCCTAAATATCTGTCATTTTATCCAAATTTTTTTTGTTCAACAATATCAGTCGTTTTATGAAACCAAAGTATAATTAATATTTTTTCTTCCAAATTTATCTTTATCTCTGTTTTCTAATAAGTGCCTAATAAATTAAGTGTAGACTAAGTGTTTTTCATATTATTTTTCTTCTCAATACGTATTGAATAAGTGTATTTTAGTCTTGTGCAATTATTTTTTACTCATACTAGAGTTATTTAATAGTTTCTTTAATCTCTGTGCAAAAACTTTAAACGACAGATATTTAGGAACAGATAAAATAAAAAATTGTAGAGTTCACTTATCCTATATTATATTCTATTATGGGTTGTATATCACCGTTATACTTGTGGTATTTTTGTGTTTTTGGGTCGGGGAACATTACCATTATAATTTTCATTGGATTCTTTAAGTCGAAACACTTACACCCACGAGATATCCTAAAAAGCATCTGACAGACACGTGTCCCGCCGAGGCAATGGGACCCACACACCTGAAACACAGACCTTATCACTACACGTGTCCTCATGCATGGAATTGGGCCCCACATCTCTTGGGACTCTGACCAGGGCCACTTTCCATATGAAAGCAACTCCATTCATATATGGACCAATTTGTCGAATAATATACACCAAAAAAAAATTTCGTGGGGTCCACTTTGATTACACAACACGACACAAAACATTTATCACGATCCTGATTTTACATGATCCTCATCCGTCTGATTCGCCAGAACCGTGGGCCCACAAATCAACGGCTAAAAAAAACACTGCAAATGCTAGTAGACCCTACTTAAACTCACGTGATCAGCACGTGCTGACAATCCTCTCAATCGCAAGTCACGGGACACCTATACTGCCTTCTTTTTTTTTTTTTATCCGATATTATTATAAATAAAAAAAAAACAACAAAATTCCAATCCGTAACATTAAATTTTTTAATAGAGAAAATTAGACCATCTGCTAACTTCACAACACCTAAACTTTGCCAAGTGAAAACTGAGTAAACTACTGCTATTAGCCATCATGACCCTGTCCCACATGAGAATAGTGTTGTTCTCGTTGGCAAAAACACTGTTCATAAAGTGCAGACACAAAAAAAAAAAAAAAATTGCTATGATCCCCTACATGTGGGTAGGTGTAGACACAAAACATAAATCGGCATATAATAAACTTATATAAACCGTAGACCAGTAACGTTAAGAGTTCGACACAGTGTCTTTCGATTTAACTGATAAATATGATTTATTTGCCTGTGATTGCAGACATGAGATTTTTTTTTTTCCATTTAAGTAAAAAAGTGTCTTTTTCCAAGACCTTGAGATATTACCTTCCCAAAAAAACCTCTGGAAAAAAGCGACTCAGCTTGTCTTCATAGCACACCGTAAATCTCAAGAAAAAAACACCATGATCACACCCTGATGGCGACGTCTGCAACCAAAACCAACAAGAAATCTTCACAAATCACATACAAAACGATGAACAAAACATCTGAGAACACCATCAAGCCACGTCTGTTCAAACCTTACCTCAAAAAGGAAGCAACCAAAGCTCAACGAGAACCTACAAAGCCAAACACAAAGATCAACGAGAAGAAATCTTAAACTAAAACCCCTGAAATATTCTCATACCCAGAAAATCAAAACAAGATGATTTGTGTCTACTGGGCTACAGGAGCTATGGATTAAAAAAGGAAAAAAAATATAATCCAATAATGGAATAAAATAACATTAAATAAGTGGAATCCCATATGCGCTATGCGATGTTTACAGAGAATGAACCTGACCCTGAACATACCTTTTGAAGAAACTTCTTGTTTCATCATCATTCACCAGAGAGCTGGCATTCGAAATAATAAAATCTTCGTTTTGACCTTAACTGGATTAATGGAGGTTTATACAAAGAAATTTTAGAGTCTCAATGGGTTTGCTTCGAAGGTTCATATGATCTTGGGAATGGAGGTGGCGAGAGCAGGTATTGAAAAGGGTTCTGGTGATCTGGGGCAATTTGGAGAAAATTAAGAGCTTTGAGAGATGAGACAGTTCAGAGAGAGAGACGAGAATGGTCAGGGGGATTGGAAATGTCCGACGGCCGACAGCAGAGGCATTGGAAACTTAAATCAGGACCAGTAGGTTTGGTCAATTTTTGATTCCTTTTGTGACGGTTTTGCCCTTATGAATCTTACATAACTACGTTGTTGCTGTTTTTCCCAGGCAGGATTACAAAGGCGCGGTTAATCGAGTGAAATTTTAAATTTGTTAATTTTATTTTTTTAAACGAATTTAAAAAATTATTTCAATTTAATTCTTTTCAAAAATAAATTGATCTCGAATCAAGTCCAAATAACTCACTTATTTTATATATAAACGCGCCGATATTTATGAGTTTAAATCAAATATTTTTTTAGGTTTTTTTTTTAATGAGTCTAACACTAATTTAAATTCGAATCGTTTAAAATATAAGTCGAAATCGAGTTAAGTTTTACCTAAACTAAATCTCAATAATCTAACTCAGTCNAAAAAAAAAAAAAAAATTGCTATGATCCCCTACATGTGGGTAGGTGTAGACACAAAACATAAATCGGCATATAATAAACTTATATAAACCGTAGACCAGTAACGTTAAGAGTTCGACACAGTGTCTTTCGATTTAACTGATAAATATGATTTATTTGCCTGTGATTGCAGACATGAGATTTTTTTTTTTCCATTTAAGTAAAAAAGTGTCTTTTTCCAAGACCTTGAGATATTACCTTCCCAAAAAAACCTCTGGAAAAAAGCGACTCAGCTTGTCTTCATAGCACACCGTAAATCTCAAGAAAAAAACACCATGATCACACCCTGATGGCGACGTCTGCAACCAAAACCAACAAGAAATCTTCACAAATCACATACAAAACGATGAACAAAACATCTGAGAACACCATCAAGCCACGTCTGTTCAAACCTTACCTCAAAAAGGAAGCAACCAAAGCTCAACGAGAACCTACAAAGCCAAACACAAAGATCAACGAGAAGAAATCTTAAACTAAAACCCCTGAAATATTCTCATACCCAGAAAATCAAAACAAGATGATTTGTGTCTACTGGGCTACAGGAGCTATGGATTAAAAAAGGAAAAAAAATATAATCCAATAATGGAATAAAATAACATTAAATAAGTGGAATCCCATATGCGCTATGCGATGTTTACAGAGAATGAACCTGACCCTGAACATACCTTTTGAAGAAACTTCTTGTTTCATCATCATTCACCAGAGAGCTGGCATTCGAAATAATAAAATCTTCGTTTTGACCTTAACTGGATTAATGGAGGTTTATACAAAGAAATTTTAGAGTCTCAATGGGTTTGCTTCGAAGGTTCATATGATCTTGGGAATGGAGGTGGCGAGAGCAGGTATTGAAAAGGGTTCTGGTGATCTGGGGCAATTTGGAGAAAATTAAGAGCTTTGAGAGATGAGACAGTTCAGAGAGAGAGACGAGAATGGTCAGGGGGATTGGAAATGTCCGACGGCCGACAGCAGAGGCATTGGAAACTTAAATCAGGACCAGTAGGTTTGGTCAATTTTTGATTCCTTTTGTGACGGTTTTGCCCTTATGAATCTTACATAACTACGTTGTTGCTGTTTTTCCCAGGCAGGATTACAAAGGCGCGGTTAATCGAGTGAAATTTTAAATTTGTTAATTTTATTTTTTTAAACGAATTTAAAAAATTATTTCAATTTAATTCTTTTCAAAAATAAATTGATCTCGAATCAAGTCCAAATAACTCACTTATTTTATATATAAACGCGCCGATATTTATGAGTTTAAATCAAATATTTTTTTAGGTTTTTTTTTTAATGAGTCTAACACTAATTTAAATTCGAATCGTTTAAAATATAAGTCGAAATCGAGTTAAGTTTTACCTAAACTAAATCTCAATAATCTAACTCAGTCACCAATCCTAACATTGAATTATCTTATAAAACAACTGTTGAATATTTGTAATTACCCATAAACAGTAAGTATCAAATAAGCTTCAGA